AAAAAAAAAAAATCATTACAAGGAAGAAGTTCTAGTGTTTGGTAGCATAGTAGGGTGACTATAATTATCAATAATTTATTGTGTATTTCAAAATAGTTAGAAGATTTAGATGTTCTCAACACAAAGAAATGCTGCATGTTTGAAGTGATGGATATCTCATCACTTTGATTTAATCATTATACATTGTATAATGTATATCAAAATGTATCAAAATATCACATGTACCCCACAAATATGTATAATTGTTATTAATAAAAATCAGTGTTACTAAATATACTTAAAGTGATTTGAATTGAGATTTGCAGGCTGTATTGCTTTCATTTATGCTTTTCATTAAGTTAAATTATAGTTGATCATCTTTAAAAAATAGATTCACTAAGGATTTTATAAGTTATTACTTTGCTGGAGGAGGTACCAATAAATACCAAGAGGTTGGTCAGTGGGTCTAAAATTGATGTCTTTATATTTCTATTCATTTTCTTTTTTGATAATTTAATCTCTTATGACTTTTAATATTATAATGTATATAATAATACTTAATAGTATTCTGTATTGAATAAACATTGAATGGCCATTATTTCAAGATACATACCTAGATGCTGGGGCCAACTGTAAGCTAAAACATTCATTCCCTGATCTAGAAGATAAGAGTAAATAAAATTTACAGAATAATGTGGCTTTACAAAAGGGACATTTGTAATTATGTTATCATTTGATACAAATTATGTATCATTTGTTCATTAAGTCACCCATTAAAGTGGAGACATCTACTTGTGCCAAGAAGAGAAGAACACAGCCCCTTTCTACAGCCTTATGGAACAGACAAGTATAGGAAAAATAATTACAGTAGTATGACAGCACAAACATGAGGAAGGGGCTTGGAAGCACAGGAGGAACTGAGTAATTCTGCTTTGTGAAATCAAGGAAGACTTAGGAGAAAGCGATATTTGACCTTAGTCTTGAAGTGTCCCTACAAATTAGCCAGATAAACCAGAGGTGGAAAAAGCATTGCAGATAGAAGGAACTCCATATTCAAAGAACTCAGGACGACAGTAGCTTTTGCTGACTTCAGATCATGAGGAGGGATGTTTGTAGGAGCTAAAGCTGGAAAGGGGGCCTTGCCATACTATGGAGATCATTATATAAAGAACCAGTGATCTATAGCAGCACTGTCCAGTAACGTTTGTGATTATGGAAATGCTCTCTATGCTGCCAAATATGGTACACAATAGCCACATGTGGCTGTCGAGCTCTTGAAAGGTGACAGGTGTGTCTTAGAAATGGAATTTTGACTTTAACTTAATTTTTTTATGTGTAAATAGCCACATGTATGTATCAATCATATTTTTTATTTTCTGTATTTCATGATTTGATATCTTTGGGGTCTTGCTGGCTGTGGAGAAGCTGTTCCTCCTAAGACTAGCTAATTTGATTTCTAGAAATCAAACAACTTGCCTTATAGCATGTCTTTCATATTGCAGACCAACCAGTTCAAAGCTCATACCCCCTAACTACCTCCTTTATCTGACTCTTACATACCAAGCCAATATTTCACCCCAGGGGTAGGTACCCAATAACCAGGAACCACCCCTTTATCCTGGAGCCCGCTGAAATGATTCAAGCCAACCAATACTAAAGCATTTACCCTTCCCTGCCTTGCTTTTTCCATTGAAACCACAATAAAGGCCTGCACCCGTGATTTCCTTTTGCTTCTTGCTTCCTCTTGACCAATCTGGTACTTCCCATTGTGGCCCTGTGTTGCATGGTGTACCCCCTTCTCTTGAGAACTATAAGTAGTAAACAACTTTTAAGGCAGTTGTCTAAATGTCTGTCATCCTAGCATACCAGATTAAAAGAAAATCTTGGATATATATCTAAACAGTGGCTAGTTGCTCCCATATTTAATAGCACAGGTCTATACACAGTCCACTTCTCTCCCAGGAAACATTTCTGCCTCCTCTCCAGTACTTAATTCATTTAAAGAATCTATATAGAGTGTTTCCACTTTGGTTGTGAGAATGTAACATCCAAAATGACAGACAAGGTCCTTACCATTACAGAGTTTCATTCTGATGACTAAAAATTACATCTCCAAAGATTTCTACCCAATAGCATTGTTAAATAGATTTGGCAAAATGTTTCTGAAAGGAGTTGGTACTGCTTCCTCACCAATCTCTATAATCTCTTAATAAAAACTACTGTTTATTGTGTATTTGTGCCTATATCTCTGTGGCAGGCATTCTTATAGGTGCTATGTCTGTGGTATATATATAGGTTCTTCTTTTTAGATCTCTTTGGCATGGTATTATATCTATAATAATTTCATTTTGGAAGAGTTAGTCTTACTGCTTTCTTTCAATAGTTAAGTGGGAAGAACAATTATCTCTTGAGAGCAATTTTACCAAGAGAGGAACAGATTAATTTTAGATCTGTGGATTTGATTCAGGCTTTGGATTTAGACTGTTCTGGACTAAATCTACACATGTAAAAGTGAGAAGAATAATGATAACTACCAAATACAGTTGTCCTCTTAGTTGTACTCTTAGCTTAGTTTATTCATTTATCTCTAATGTACTAAGAGTACAACTAAACCATCTCAACACTGTTAGCTTAAATAACTTTATTTGGTAGGTATCAATATTATTCCTATTTTACATTTATCTTTAACATTTATTACCATGCTTTGGCACATTACCTCCTGTTTCTCTCTTTTTCACAACTAAGCTATTTCTACATAGTCCCTAGCCAGGTTTTAGGTACTCAGTGAAGGAAGTTAAATGCTAACTCTTTTAAGAACAGAAGGAATTCCCTACAGAGCCCAGCAGAGCCAGGGCACTAGCAGACATTTGATAAATGTTGAAATGTGTGTTGAAATGTTTATCTTGTTTTCCTGGTATGTTTGTCTCCATGGGCATAGGGACCATTTTGTGTATATCACTTACATTTTCTATCCTCTTAAGACAAGACTGAATAAGGCTGGGTGTGGTGGCTCACACCTGTAATCCTAGCACTCTCGGAGGCCGAGGTGGATGGATTGCCTGAGCTCATGGGTTTGAGACCAGCCTGAGTCAGAGCGAGACGTCATCTCTAAAAATAGCCGGGCATTGTGGCGGGCGCCTGTAGTCCCAGCTACTCAGGAGGCTGAGGCAAGAGAACTGCTTAAGGTTGCTGTGAACTGTTCTGCCATGACACTCTACCAAGGGCAACAAAATGAGACTCTGTCTCAAAAAAAAAAAAAAAGACAGACTGAATTTTTAATGAGTGCTTTTGGAATGATAGATCTTAAAATTAGGACATTAAGTAAACGAAAGTTTCGATTTATTCTTTAAAATAGTAGCTTTTACATAACATTTTGTTGTTCTTTAGGAACAGTTATCAAAAAATGTAAATTAAAGCATTGAAGACGTGCTGTCGGAAATTATAAATCAGTGGTAAAAATTTTATAGATATTCTGTTAGATCATTTTAACCATGGTATTAAGGAGAAAAGAATGAAAAATGTGAAATACATCACACATTGAATTTTGTTTATTCCAATTGTGGTGGATCATAACTCTTAAAAGTAGACAAATAGACTTGATGTGGATAATAGGATAGGTGAGTCACTATGGAAGTTTTGAGGTACACAGAAATCAAGAAATGTAAAATCTGTGTGGACAGAAACAAATGAACCCTCCCAGCAACAATGATAGAGCAAGTTGGAGCTTGCACAAGTCAGTCAGAAAGGACACTGTCCGCTGTTTCTTGAAAGTGAAGTAATGACCATAATACAGTCTGTCTCAAAACTTTTGTAGTGACCCACATATTTAAAATAGGACCTATTTCTGAAAATTTAGGTTTCCAGTTTGACAAGTTTTAACCCCAAAATGAGGCGGTTCTAGGTATAGGTGACTTAATTGTGTTATTTATTCTTAGTTTTATAGGTGAGTTAAAAAGGGATTAATGTGAGAAGTGACAGATAAAGAACAAACTCAAGGATGAAACCAGACATGCTATTTTGTTTTGTTTTTGCGAGAGCCCCACAGATTCTAACGTATACGTGTTTAGTTTCAGAATGGCTTCGGTTATTACCTTTCCTTGGTGTACTTGCACTACTTGGCTACCTTGCAGTTCGTCCATTTCTTCCGAAGAAAAAACAACAGAAGGATAGCTTGATTAATCTTAAAATCCAAAAGGAAAATCCAAAAGTGGTGAATGAAATAAACATTGAAGATTTGTGTCTTACCAAAGCAGCTTATTGTAGATGTTGGCGTTCTAAGACGGTAAGATATCTGCTTACACATACACTAACATTTTGTGGTGGTTAGTACTGTGCTTCTTAAATCTCCAGTTTTGAGGTTCTGTGTGACGAGAGATTTTTCCATAGTACTCAGTATTAGAAGTCCATATTTTTAAATTATCAAATTTGAATTTCACGATTGACACTACATGCATTAGAAAAGTAAGAACGGAAAGGAAGGCTAGAAATCTCCTGCTTTCACATGTTCAGCATTTGTCTACAGGACTGTGTATTTTAAAATGCACTTATTTTTTGACAGGACATGAGGATTAGTGGAAAGAATTTTGGATTCAGAATAAATAGTGTTAAAATCTGATGGCTGTTAAAGTATGAGTTTGGTTGGGCAATTTACTTAATATTTAATCTCTGACCTTCAGATTTTTGTTTTGATTTGTTTTCAGACAGGGTTTCACTCTGTCTCCTTGGCTAGAGTGCAGTGGTGTCGTCGTAGTTCACTGCAGTCTCAAACTTCTGGGCTCAAGTGATCCTCCTGTCTCAACCTCCCAAGTAGCTGGGATTACAGGCTTTTTTGAGGTTTTAAGTACAGTATTGTTCATCACCACATCCTTTGTAAGCATAGTTTTAGAAACCTAAGTGTCTGATAATAGGGGAGTGATTAAAGTCAAATACAAATAATGGGATATTAGGAACCCATTACAAATCATGTTTTTAAAGAATACTTAAGGACATGAGATACTAATATAATACAGAGGGTGCCCAAAGAGGTATATATGCATTTCAAGAAAGGAAGAAACTGTCTTAAAATGGTAATACTCAAGTCACATTTGACTTCTCCAATTATAAGAGATGTTCAGTGTGACTTTTATTCATCTTTTGTTACTGGTATATATTGAGTATAGCAATTTTAATACAATTTTTTCCTTTTCTGAAATGTATATACTTTTTTTGGTACTTTCTGTACAAGTAAGAAAAGTATAATACAATATGATCTCAATTTTGTTTTTTAAAAAATGAATACACACAGTAAATGCATAGAAAAAAATATATAAAAATATTCATTGTTACCTATATCTAAATGGGTTATGAATGAATTTTTAAAGATGTTTTTTAAAAATTTTATAGTATGCATGAGTTTTATAGTAAAAAAACTATAATTGATTTTGAATTTAAATTCTTTTCTTTTAAAATTTAAATGAGTTAAGAGATATGCTTGAATTTAGAGCTGCACAAATGATTCCCTCTTAAACTCATAGTCGCTCAAAAATTTTTATTTAAAATCTAACCCAGGGCGGTGCCTATGGCTCACTGGGTAGGGCACCAGCCCCATATACTGAGCGTGGTGGGTTCGAACCCACCCCAGCCAAACTGCAACAAAATATAGCCAGGCATTGTGGTGGGTACCTGTGGTCCCAGCTACTTGGGAGGCTGAGGCAAGAAAATCACCTAAGCCCAGGAGTTGGAGGTTGCTGTGAGCTGTGATGCCACAGCACTCTACCAAAGTTGATGAAGTAAGACCCTGTCTCTAAAAAAAAAAAAAAATTCTAACGCAAATAATGAAGTAACTATTTAAATTGTTAGATTTGCTATGGTATCACAATATGGTTGGGTTAGATGTTGAATGTATCTCTATTACTCAGGAAAGCTATGTTATGAATTTATTTTATATGCTTCCTTTATGACAGCATTGTATAAATATTTATATTTTATGAATCATTTTTAAACATAGTAATTATAATTCTTTTTTTTTCTTTTAGTTTCCTGCCTGTGATGGTTCACATAACAAACACAACGAATTGACAGGAGATAATGTGGGCCCACTAATACTGAAGAAGAAGGAAGTATAATAGTAATGAATTTGGCCCCCTGTAGCATAGAAGTTATGGCCCCAGCCACATACATCCAGGCTGGTGGGTTTGAACCCAGCCTGTGCCTGCTAAAACAACAATGACAACTGAAACAAAAAAAATAAATACCCAGGCGTTGTGGTGGGTACCTGTAGTCCCAGCTACTTGGGAAGCTGAGGCAAGAGAATCGCTTAAGCCTAAGAGTTTGAGGTTGCTGTGAGCTGTGATGCCATGGCACTCCACTCAGGGCAACAGCTTGAGACTCTGTCTCAAAAAAAAAAAAAAAAAAAAAAAAAAGTAATGAATTAGGATTGAATTCAATTGTATAAAGTCTTACAACAATATTTTCTCATTCTTTGTGTATAGTAATTATTAGCACTAGTTGAATAATTATTTGTCAGTTTATTTTCTTGCTACACTACTGTTTATATTTGATACTTTTGTATATTCAAATAAGTACTTACATAGAAATTAAATTGTCAAGCCTCTTATTTTGACTTCAAAGAATTAATGTATCTTCCAACAATAATTTAATTGAGAAAAATACAAATTTTGGCAGTGAGTCCAAAGCTGTTTCGTTGAATATCAGTATTTTCAATAGAGTCTGTTATTATGAAATTTTCCTTCCACATCATTAAATATATTTTTCATGTCTTTTTTGTTTTGATAATTGCAAGTGTTTATTTTTTTCCTTTTGGCCTTCCACACTCCACTTAGATGAATTAAGAAAACTATTGCCATCAAGAATTACTTGAGTTTTCACACACATAAACTCTTTGATATGTAGAGATTGTTGCCTAATTAATTTGAGTATCATTTCAGAACAGAAGTAAAGGATATAAAGAGTTCCATTGAGAACAGTTATTTATGTTATAAAAATTTATTTACTTTATAAGAGGGGTGTGTGTGTGTATCTTGAACCATTTGGCTCAGCAACAGCTGGGGTGGAATGGCAAGAATACAGTTGAACTTACGGGCTTTTGCAGGTAAAGTATATCTGAATTTATATTAAATTGATAAATAGTTCAGCATTCAAAATGGTGTGTATATGAAAGTTGTTCTCCTTTTAACATTTTAACTATGAAAGTAAAATTAACAGTTGTCCTTTAGTATACAAGGGGGGATTGGTTCCAGGGCTGCATGTGAATACCAGAATCTGTACACGATCAAGTCCCTCAGGGCTGTAACCTACATAAGTGAAAATTTGGTTCTCTGCACAGGTGTGGGTGGGTTTTCATATCCTGTGAATATGGATCTGTGTTTGCTTAAAAAAAATATCCTTAAGTGGGTCCATCCAGTTCAAACCCATTTTGTCTAAGGGTCAACTGTGCATAAAAGTTCACAAAGTAAATTTACTGGAGACTCTTTTAAATGTTTGTAATTTTTTAGCCTACTATTAAGAGTCTTTTTAGTTTCATCTATTTATGAAAATTCATTTTCTTTTTATATGAAGAAGGTATAAGAGGGAGTCATATTTAATTTTTTTCCATTAATACAGCTAGTAAGTATTGAACACTTATATGGTACCAGAACCTACAGTAAGCATGGTACTTGGATTTTTAAGTTTTCCATATAATTTTAATATGTCATACTACATGATCTTTACCTTATCATGACCAATCACATGAATTTTAAAAGTTGGAGTTAGAAATACAGTCTCTGTTTTTTTGAGCTGTCTTACAAGGTGTTTGTCCAAGATTGTTGTCCTTTCCTCCCCCTGTTAATAGGCAGAAATACAATGTTGCTGTCACTTCTTTAGGCTCTGGGTGTTTTTTCAGAGCCCTTTTCTTCAACACTCTTCAAGGACTTCCAATGTCAGATTAACCAGTTATATTTCCACAGTTGAAGACTTGGGACAAATCCTCCTCTCCAAAAGTTTGGATTTCTTGATCTGTGGTTATGAAATACCTTTCTTTTTATAAAATCATTGATTGCAAATCAGCAACATGTTTTTATACATGTCCTAGTGTAGTGGTTCTCAACCTGTGGGTCGTGACCCATAGGAACTGTATTAATGGGCCATGGCATTAGGAAGGTTGAGAACCACTATTCTAGTGGTTCCTGTACTTAGTCTTTTTGAGACAAAGTCTCACTAAGTTCCTGTACTTAGTTTTTTGAGACAGAGTCTCACTTTATCACCCTTGGTAGAGTGCTATGGTGTCATAGCTCACAGTATCCTCAAACTCATGGGCTCAAGCAACCCTCTTGCCTCAGTCTCCCGAGTAGCTAGGATTGAAGGCGCCTGCCCCACCCAATGCCTGGCTTTTTTTTTTTTTT